GACTCACTCCGCTTTACCCCTGACTTAAAGTGTGAAAACTAATTCACCCTGCAACCAGATTGGGCGCCTAGACCTTAGACAATGGTTCCAAATGGTCACTTAAGGCACCCTAGACCCTAACATTTTGAGGGACCTTTTTAACTTTTGTGAGGGCTGGGGAGATGAAAAGAAACCCCCTCTGCTCCTCTTGTTCTCCAGCCCAGGTTCCGCTGGCTCTGGATACCCCCCCTCAACCTCAGGACCCTCCCGAAATCCCAGACTTTGACCCCGCTGAGGAGCCCCTCCCTACCACCCTCCACCTTCTGGACCCCTCCCGGCTCCCTCACCTATTTCTCACCCTTTACTTGCTCTGGCTCTGGCACGGACCCCTCTACCCAGCTCCCCCCTCTGCTTCCCCTCTGTGAAGTAGCGGGGTCTCGGGGAGTTGTTCAGGTACCCGTCCATTCTCCCTTAGTGACCTCTCCCAAATCAAAAGAAGGCTAGGGTCCTTCACCTCTCACCCTTCAGGGTACATTCAGGAGCTCCAAGACCTAACCCAGTCACAGGCTCTACTTTCCACCATGTTCCTAGGATCCCATCCACACTCTCCTCCCTGAGAAGCACAGGCGCATTCGGGAGCAGGCCAGAAACTATGCCGGGAAAGTCCACCAAACCTCCCTGTCTCACCCAATTGGCACTGAGGTAGTCCCTGATCGTGACTCCAACTGGGACTACAACTTGGCTGCAGGGATCACTGGTAGGAGCCAATTCATTACCTGCCTCATGGCAGGACTAAGAAAATCGGCCCATAAAGCTATGAGGATCTCCAAGAGGTTATTCAGGACGAAAATGAAGATGCTCAGGATTCTTGGTCTGCATTACAAAGGTCCTTTTACAGTTCACCTACCAACCCTGAAACCCCAGACAGGAGACAACTACTCGTGACCTCTCTTCTCCCAGAGCTTCCCGACATGAAGGCTGACCTCAAACACCAGAGAGGGCACCCTGACTCCTCAAGCAGCGCTTCTGGAAGTGGCTTTTAGGGTCTATAATGGGAGAGATGAGAAGAAACACCAGATGCCTGCCAAGGCCTTTCAACCTGCCCCAACCCCTGGCACTCTGGCATCCCCACTCCCTAAAAGGCAGCCAGGGGACCCCCTGATGCCTCCTTCAAATGTGGTCAAATGGGTCATGGGGTCAGAGTATGTACGGATCTCCGAAAGCCTCCTGGGGCACGTTCCAAATGCCATCGGGAAGGCCACTTGCACCAAGAGGTGCAAGGCCACCCGGCTCTGATATCTTTCCAGTGGATCTTCTGGGTCTGGCAATGGATGACTGAGGAGGCCCAGGTCCCCTCACCCAACCACCACTTCTCAGGAGCCCAGGGTCACCATGGAGGGGGCAGGTAGTCCCGTCTCTTTCCTTTTGGACACTGGAGCCACATAAGTCCTAAAGGAGTTTTGGGGACCTACTTATGTGGGGAGCCACTCCAAATGCACACCCCTTTAAGTCCTGATGCACCACGGGGTTCTGAAAAAACCCTGTAGTCTGGCACGGTAGAGCCCTGACTTGTGACTCTTCCCTTGGTCGGATAACAAGGCATGGCCCTAGGAGTAGGCAGCACCCAGAGGTGTGGAGCTATACTCTCCTAATCCTTTGTAATCCTATCCCTTGCCTCATTTAAATGGCTTCTTCCCAATAAAATGCCCCTCCTCACTCTTTTTCCACAGACCTAAGTTCAGAGGAACCATCACAAGACCCAAATAAAAAGATATTTCTCTGTGTGATTATTTCAGGCCGCCCAGTTCACTTGGAGTGATCCTGATGGTTTAGTCGTGCAGTGAGACATACTTCTCTTTCTTGTTCTTCTATTGTCGCGCTGAATGACTAGCATTTTCTTCCTGTGATTGGTAGAGGCTCTGTCGGTCACTTTTGTAGTGATCTGGTCACTTTCGTAGTGGCCCTAGATGCTGCCCTAATCCTCGAGGTAGCAGAATGTGTCTTCATGCTAGGTGTGCCTTCCTACAGCCCCATGGATCAACTATGCTCACCTGTTCCGTTGTGCTATTACCCCTTTGCCCTGTTTGGGATGGAAGGTTTCATGGAAAGGCCCTTTGTGTGCTGTGTGCCCACTTCTCTTGCTCTGCCTTTGGGCATGGCCTTCCTAGATGTCAATCAACCTGCTGGCAGCAGACATTACAAGCTAGACTCAGCCCCCTGAAACCTGACCCCTGGCCTCATTTGAATGGCTTCTCCTCAATAAAAGGGTCAGCATGTGCTCCTCTCTCTTTTCTTCGAACTCTTAAGGTCAGAGGAGTTGTCAAAGGACCCCCCCAAAAAAAAGGCATCTCTGTCTCTTGTGTGGTTATTTGGTGCAGCCCAGTTCACCTGGAGTGACCCTGAGTGTTTTTGTCATGAGGAACTCGACAGAGGACCCTTGACCAGCCCCTACAAGACCTTGGCTTCTCTGCATGCTCCAGGGCATTGCCCTCTCCCACTCCTTCCCGATTCCCCGCTGCCCAGTTCCTCTGAGGCAGGGATCTCCTAGCCAAAGTTGGGGCCTCCATTACCTTCACTCCTGAGTCTCAGCTCGCCTTTGGTACCCCCCCTGCTAGTAGTCCAGACGAATTCCACGGATCCCTCTATCTGGGACTTCCAAAAGCCCTCCACAGCCATCCGCCACTCTCCCTTGATAATACATCTCAAGGACCCCACCTATTTCCCAGCAGGACCCCAATACCCACTTTCTCTCCAGAGCCTCAGGGGTCTCAAACCTTTGATCTTCTCCAGAAAGGCCTCTGTGCCAAAGGAACTCCCCTTTCAACACACCCAACCGAAACCAGACACTGCAGACTCATACAGGATCTTGCTTCACAACACAGCCATAATCCCCTGTTATGCTCGTATTCGGGACTCCCAAAAGACCACCAATCAACACCAGCAAAGAGGTGTTGATTGTGAGCTAGCTCTGTCCTCCGCGTGCGCACACACAGCAACTGGTGATGCTGAGAGGCCCCAGCCCAGGGTTGGCAGCAGTTTTATACATTCTTTGGAGAAGGCAGGGACCCCCACATACGTCATAGCGTCTCTTAGCAAATCATCACACACCGCGGGGAAAATCAAATCACAACTCTAAAACATGATTAGCACATTCACTGGCGGGAACAGGTTGGGTAGGGGTGATTGGTTACTACAAAAGGGGTATTCATTTGAACAGATGGGTTTCAGCCAAGAGGGGTGTTCATGCTGAATTACACATGGTTTCCCAACACCATAAACTACTGGGAGAGTCATCTGGCATCCCAGGTATTTCCATGTCTCATGCTGATCGGTGGCTGCTAGGGGGTTGCTATGGGTCCCCACCTAGCCTGAGTCAGGGACACCTGGCGCAGCAGATCTCATTTGTAGATAAACCACTCAGCAGGGTGGGAATGTGCCTAGGAGTGCTCCGTGGGTCTTTCCAAGGACCAAGGTCATGTCCCTTTCCTGGGACAGGCTTTGCTCTGAGGTAGAGGCTGGTTTTGCACCCAATTCACCCAGGAGTTCCCAGCCCACATCCCGCCTCTCCACCATTCCCTCACACATCACTCATCTTTCTTTTTTTTTTTTTTTAGAGAGAGAGAGAGAGAGAATTTTAATATTTACTTTTTAATTATACAACATCTTTCTTTGTACGTGGTGCTGAGGATGGAACCTGGGCCGCATGCATGCCAGGCGAGCGTGCTACCGCTTAAGCCACATCCCCAGCCCCACATCACTCATTTTTCGGTTTTGGATGCCTTCTTCTCCATTCCCTCACACCCCAATTCCAGAACATTTTCCTCTTCACCTGGACAGACCCAGACAGTCACACCTGTACCCAGTTAACTTGGACTGTCCCACCTCAAGGATTTAGAGATAGTCCCCATCTCTTTCACCAACAGTGAACCTCTTGCACAAGATTCAGGTGTGTGGTGTGCTCTGTGGACTGTGTAAGACTCTGCGAGTGTCCTTTCCGATGGATTACAGCAGAAGCTCTGCCCTCTGAACCTGCCTACAGCCAAATCAATGTTTCCTGCTGTCTCCAGGTCTTGTCTCATCTGTCCCCACCACACCAGGGAGATAGTTGGCATGCAGAAAGCGCAGTTGGTGTATTCTGTAACTCCCTTACACACTTCAGGTTGCAGGGGCCCCTATTACGGGAAAAGACCGTGATCGTTGGTTTTGGCATAGGCGGTGGGGCCCTTTTTCCCTAGGGGACATTATGAGCTCCATTCTGCTCCCCTAACCTGGGCGTCAGGAGAGTCACGCCGGGGCACAAAAGCCCCTCGGGCCAGTCTTTCCCGACAGGAGAACTCGGCCAGCAACCCCGGGAAAGGCAGACCTGGTGCGGCAGGAGCTGGCCCGCCCCGCAGCCGGAGGTTTTCGGCCTCTCTCGCTCTGGGTCTGTAGCGCCGGTCCTCTCCGTCAGGAAAGACGCGTGAGGGACGTCGCTCTTTCCTCGCAGGATGCCACTGTCAGGCCGCACCGCCCCTTCCAGCTTCAAACCCCGGGGAACTTTTCTCTCGCGGCGTGAGCGCTCGACGCTCCTGCCACCACCCAGATGGCCGCTAGCGCCTTTTTTCCGACGCCACTACCAAGATGGCCGCGGCCCGAGGTTTCCGCCTCCGTGGGGTGTGGCCTGGGGACTTCAGCCCGGAAACACGCGAACCGGCCGCAGCCAATGAGAAGGCAGCGCGGGCTCGGCGAG